AGCCATAATCCCCAGGGTGATGATGTTAGGGGTGGGCCCTTTCGGAAGTACTTAAGTTACGAGGATAGAGCCCGGGTGAATGGGGTGAGTGCCTTTATAAGAAGAGACCGAGGGATTCTGTGTATGTGGGGACACAGCAAGACCTCAGTCTACAAACCAGAAAGAGTGCCTTCACTGGGAACTGGATCAGCTGGCATCTTGATCTCAAAAACTGAGGGCAGAGACTTTGTTTTGTTTCTGGCTGTTGTTCCTGGTGCCTCGAACAGTGCCAGGCACATAGGAGGCCCTCATTTAGTTACACGTTGAACTAATAGAGTGAATGATTTAGCCTGCGATTTCTTTATAGCAGGAGGTCAGCCTTTTTCCTGCCCCGGCGTACTTGAGATGTCCTCATCAGTAACGTTTTCAGAGCAGCAGTGTTTCTCAGTCTTGGTATCATTCTTATATCAGGAATATAAAACATCAGTGAAGGAAAATAGCTTCCCTGCCCACCATTGTGTTTCTGTGGCACTCGACAGCTGATGTGTGCTAGCATTGTGCATGTCAGAGGGAGTGGAGGTGAATCTGGTCACCGTGTGGAGCCCCAGCCTTGTGACTTATGATCATTAACTACATTTCCTGAACTTTCTTATTGATACACCCAGCTATTTTCTTAGGCCCCTTCTTGCCTGGATGGATAGTCTTCATCTGTCAGTGGGTAACCAGGGAGACGTTATCTAGTTGGGTTGTTTGTTTTTGCTAGGCATTGTGCCAAGTGGTTTAATTTTTTCCTTTATTTTTTAAATTTACCTTTCCTGTTGAAAGTATTACAGATGTCCCCCCTTTCCCCATTGACCGCCTCCACCCTGCCCGTTTTCCTCTTTATTAATTTTATTTGGGTGACGCTGGTTAACAAAATTATACAGGTTTCAGATGCACAATTCTCTCTAGTTCTCTCTAGTTTCAAACAAGAGGCAGCTGAACTTAACGGTTGAACCCACGGGTCTTAGAGTTAGACTTCATGAGTTCACATTTGCCACTGACAGGCAATCCTGAGCAAGGTCCTTAACTTTCTGTGCCTCACCTTTGTCCTCTGTAGGATGCAGTTGCTCATTTTCCCACCTCATCGGGTGATGCATGTGGTGATTAAAATAGTGCCTGCCCGCAAACATTCAGCTGCTGTTCTCTTCTGCAGTTCCTTGTAGTGACCTACAAGAGTTCCTGAAATGCAGAGTGGTGGGAGAAGAGGGACATTGAAAGTTTAACACGGTTGTATTCTGTGCTTTTCCTGGCTGAGAGGGGCTGAGCTCGAATGGAATGAGCCTGCGTTCTACTGTTCTAACTGGATCTTGCTCTCATCCTGTGGTGCCAGAGAGAGTGAAGTGCTAAACAGCTCGGTGCCGCTTTGAGTAGTGACATTAATTGCAGGATTTGGTGTGGTTCGTTTTTGGTCATGCGTTTTAACACTAGTGGGAGGCAGTGCAAGGTAAAAGTTGAACACTCTTAAGTCTGAGAGTTTTAACGTTCCTGCTCTTTGTGGAACAGTTTGGTGGAGAAACAGAACATTTCAGTTAGCATTGAATTTTTGGAGCACTTGCTTTCTGCTTTAGGCACTAGAGTGGTAGGAGGCTGGTTTTGGCCTCTGGGTCCTTCCCTCCAGTTTGAGGCCAGGCCAATAAAGATTCACAACAGCGTGATTTAGAGTTTGGCGGGTGTTATTAGCAGTAAATAATATAGGAGTTGAAAGAAAATGTAAGAATGTGAGGCTAGAGCGATAGAATCAACAAGCCGTTAGAGAATTTGAGCAAGGCTTGGAGTGAGGCTGGCATTAGAGAGCTGAGGGGGCAGCTCATGCTTATGGAACATCTCTTGCCAGGCACTTGTGTATTAACCTGTGGGAAAATGGCCGGTTGCAGCATGAGGGGCAGGTGCACAGAAGAAATAGAGGGTGAGACTAGATGTGTTCAGATGGGTCAGACCGCATAGGACCCGGTGAGTGTGCCAGGCTGAAGTAGTCTCTGCCTCTCCTGAGGCACCGCAGACAAAAGCGTATTGGCCATATTTTCTATATCAGTTTATCCTTTGGAGAGTCACTAGAGCAGAACATGATTGTGAAGCTCAGGTAAGAACTTCCAGTAGTCATTTTAGGCTTGAGGTAAAAAGAGCTAAGTTGATGGCAGTGGGACAAAAGGAAAGATGAACTTTTAAAAATGATCAGTAGGGCTTGGTGTCTGTGATACAGGAGATTAATCATGGGGTCAGTACTCCTTACCCTATAACCTGTTGGATTTGAGATGATGGTGAGACACACGAGTTAGAGATGTCCTCTGGTCTTCACGTATTTGCTGAGGGCCAATCATGTGCAGACTTTGAACAAGGCTCTGCAGTTACATGGGGTCAGGACTGACCAGCACCTCTGTCCCCAAGGAGCTGGCAGTCTGGTGGAAGAGCCAACAAGCATCGCAGGGCTATGACAAGTCGCAGTCAGTGGGTTGCATGAGGAAAGCCATGAGGGTGGGGCGCTGAGCCGAGGCGCAGTGGACGAACCGCAGGCCAGTGCAGCCCCTGCAGAGCGAGGGGGCGAGTGAAGGACCGGAGGCGGGGCTCTCTGAGGGGGCGCCTGGGAGAGACCGGGGGCTCACAGGAAGCCAGCGGTAGGCCAGAGGTGGATCTCTGAGAGGTGATGGGAGGAGCAGCAAGGAGCCCAAGGTCAGCCAGGTGGAGAAGTAGATGAGTCCAGGGAAGTGGGTGCCAGGGACAGTGAGGAGCCACCCCATGGGCTGGGAAGGAGCACTCGGAGAAAGACCCGCTGGGTTTGGCATCGAAGATTTTGGTGACTTTCAAGCAGAAACAGGGTTTCAAGGGTTTAAGGAGGAAGACTGGGTGCTTAAGAAATTGAGGTGAGGCTGTACACCTCCCATTTAAGAAGCTGCTAATGAAAACACTATATAGTTTTTTAAATGTATTTGCCCACATAGACATTTTTACTCAGCTAAGATCATCTTTTGATGTGCTTCAGATGAAAAAAAAGATATTGACCATGAGACGGTGGTTGAAGAACAGATCATTGGCGAGAACTCACCTCCTGATTATTCAGAGTATATGACCGGGAAGAAACTTCCTCCTGGAGGGATACCTGGCATTGACCTCTCAGATCCTAAACAACTGGCAGAATTTGCTAGGTAAGTTACAAGAACTTTCCTTTAATCATGGTTGAGTATTGCCAGCTGTATTTTTTTGTGCCTACGTTACAATGGTGGCTTGTATTCTTGCTCTAGGGAAACGTTTGAAAACAAGCAGTTTGTTTTAGTTTAGTTTTTTAAAAATATATATTTATTGATTTCAGAGAGAGGAAGGGGGAGAGAGAAATAGAAGTATCAATGATGAGAGAGCCATTGTGATCGGCTGCCTCCTACACACCCCTGGCTGGGGATGGAGCCCACAACCCCAGGCATGTGCCCTGACCCTTAATTGAACTGCAATCTCCTGGATCCTTAGGTTGATGCTCACCTGCTGAGCCACGCCCAGCTGGGCCGTTTATTTTTAATGTGGGTGGCACCATTTTAGATCCTTGAAGACAGTAAGATGAAGTAAATACTCTAATTCCATAAATGACATTGTTTGAGAATAAATAAATTGCACATAATTTGTTTGGAAATGGGTATCTTTACACTACCCCCTGGCCTGCTTGTGTAAGTTTCAAATTGTGTGTGTTAACCGGGCTAAGATGCAGGAGGCCTGGGTCTGTACTGCATTTGTGCAGCTGACCACTGAGAGGATTTCACCTATTCACCAGGGTTTCAGTGGCGCACCAGGGAAGCTCTCGGCGTTTGTTCATTTAAACTGACGTGACAGAGATCAGGTGTTTATGACTGGGACCCCATGACTGTCCCAGGTGAGCTGTCAGGAAGGTCATGACTGTCCCAGGTGAGCTGTCAGGAAGGTCTGAGCCCACTGGATGTTTGTTTTGCCTAAAACGGTCTGGGCTTTCACAGAAGCCTCTGCCCATTTTTACATTACTGATTTTCCGGTACTGTTTGGCAGTTTTTACGAGGGCATGAGAAAACCCAGAGAGGTACACTTTTAAATAAAATGAAATGAACTAATAAACTGGAGCGGAGGGTCATATCCTTTCCCTACCTGAGGCTGAGCGGAGCCTGGAACCGCCCGGGAAATGTAGGTGAGGCCCGGGTCAGGAAGAGGGAAACCTGTGGTCCTGCACTGTCTAAGAACAGAGTGGGGCGCCTTTTCTCTTTCTCTTGAGAGCAGAGCAGAGTAGGAAAGAGCTGGAGGCCCTGCCAAAAACAAGGTGGGCGACCTCTTGCCATTTGGAGCCTCAGTTTCCCCACATGTCAGATGGGTTTAAGAATTCTGTTGTGTTTTAACAAAGGGATTCCAACACTGTTCTCCTGTCCAGTGAAACTAAGTGTAGAGAAAATACATTAATTTATTTCTAATTTATTATGACTTAACAAAAAAGTTAAGGCTCAATTCTTCTGTTAATGACATTGTGTTCTGGCTGTTAATTGTCATTCATATTATAATTACAGGCCTGTATGTCAAATATTAGCCACCCCCCTCCCGCAGTACAAATACAAATGGAATCTGTAGGATACATAGTCATCAGTAAGGTTAGAGATTTTGGACAGATTAGGCCAAATGTCATGCCCGTGTTTAATATTGTCATATGTTCTTAAAGTTGGCGCCCTCTTCCTTATTGTATTAAGAACTTAGTGGGGATATGATAGGGGCTGTATCCCAGGATAGAGATAAATGGGACATGGGTCAAGGAAAGGGTTGTGGTTGGTGGCATTTGATTTGGGCCTTGAAGAGCATTGGGCTTTGATGAGTAGGTGGGTTTTCACAGTGAGCATGGTGCGCACACATTCCAAGTCCAGTGTATAATCAGAGAACAGCAAGCAGTCAGGTGTGCCTGGGACGTAGGGTGCTGTGAAACAGTAAACATGAGAGACGAGAGGAGACAGTGGGAAGGGTGATTAGAAGCTTTGCCCTTACCCTGGCCAGTGTTGCTCAGTTGGTTGAGCGTTGTCCCATGCACCCAGAGGTCACTGGTGTTCAATTCCTGGTCAGGCCGCATGCCTGGGTGTGGGCTCGATTTCCAATAGGGGGTGTGCGGGAGGCAGCTCATCAGTGTTTCTCTCCCTTTCTCTCTCTCAAAACAGAAAACCAATAAAAACATTTTTTTTATAAAAAGCTTTGCTCCTTAGATAATGGGAAATTGGAAGAAGGTGTTGGCCTGGGGTTCCGCAGTGTTTGGTTTTAGGTGGTAATGAAACATCCATTTTGGACTTGAGGTGGTTTGGGGAAGTTGGGGTGAAAGTCATCTGATGATGGGTGGCTGAAAGCCCGGAAGTGTTAGGTAAGTCAGCTCTCTGAAGGAGAGGTTTTGGAGGGGAAGGACCTCACAGGAAGTCCTGGGAAAGCCTTTGTATTCAGAGGGTAAGAGGAACCAGGGAGGGACCAGACTGTCATTCAGGTGAGGAGGACGAGACTCAGGGCGGTGAGCACAGCATTGAGAGAGCCATGAGTCTAGTCCGCAGGACGCCGAGAGGGAGGAATGCAGTCCTAAACTGTATACTGTGACATGACTTAGTGGAGGAGCAGAGAGTGTTACAGAGGGAGCCTGTGGGAGTGAGCAGTGGATGACCCTTGGCACTGTCCACCTCGCTGGAGAATCAGGCAGCTGATGTGGAAACTTGTCCCCAGTCCTTTGAAAAGAAAGTCCAGGGTCTTTCAGCCCTAAACCCAGGAGCCATGTGTCACTGTTGTGGAATAGAAGCCTCTGCGTGTTTCCCAAGTGGCCTTCCCTCTGCATCAGGGCTCCCTGAGACCTTGCTCTTGAGGACCCAGGCACCAGATACCGCAAAGGTACAGTTTGTGAAATTTCAAAACACTAAGGATAAAGAACCTAAAAACTTCCAGGGAGAAAAGATAGAGGTCACCTTCAAAAGAATGATCATTAGACCTGAAGGAGACTCTTCTTCAACAGCAATAAATACCCAGAAATTCTCTGTTAGACAGTGGAGCAGTGTTCTGCAGTTTCTAAGGAAAAATTATTATAAACACAGAATTATTGATCCAGCAAAGGCATCAAGGACAAGATTTGTTGTATGTTGCATGCATGCTTTCTGAGGAGGTCACTTGAAGATCTATACCAGTAAAATGAGAGTGAACATCAAAAGGAAGGCTTCCTAAAGAATACAGTCAAGCCCAGCTGGCGTGGCTCAGAGGTTGAGTTTCGACCTAGGATCCAGGAGATTGTGGTTGGATTCTGGTCAGGGAACGAGCCGGGGTTGCGGGCTCTATCCCTAGCAGGGGGGCGTGCAGGAGGCAGCTGATCAGTGACCCTTATCATTGATGTTTCTCTCCCTTTCCTCTCTCTCTGAAATCAATAATATATATATATTAAAAATAATACAGTGAAAAGGAAACCAAGAAGACAGCTGTGCAAGAGGCTGGAAACCCTCAGTTTAGTACAGGAAGTCTGTGGGTTGTGAGAATTGCTACAAGAAAAGTTGGCCTCTTTCAGTAGTGGACAGGAGGAGTGAGAAGCTAGAAAATCTTGGTGGTATGGGAAGGAGTCTTCTAAAAATTAAAAGATAATCAGAAACTCCCTGCAAAGGGGCCAGGATGAGGAAAGCAGTGCCCTAAAAACAGGGCATACTACCGACAGTATTTGAAGAGAGAACTCACTTGATTGACTGGGGAAGGCTCTCCTGGGCACTGAAGCTACTCTGTTGGTCTTTGAGAGCGAAAGGTATGATCCTGGCACATGGTTAAATTCTGCAGTAAGTAATATTTACACAATCACCTGACTACAATGTGTGTATTTCTGTTAAGGTCAACCTGCTAAAGATTTCATTTGTATACAGAATAGAATGAGATCTTGATCTTCTTGACAGTGTATATGAAGTAAAGATGCAGGTTTGGCCTCATTCTCACCCCTATTTCCCATGGTATCTTGAAAAGATGGTGTAAAACTGAAGAAATCTCTAATCGGACAGTGGTGGTAGTGAGAAATAGAGTCTGGAATGCCCTATTTTACACATTTTGAGTATGTGCATAACAATAGCTGAATGGGATTTCCCAGAGGCCCCAGAATTGGTGACTGAGACTGAAAGCTGAAGGCACCAAGTTTCAAACCAATTGGGGCCGGACTCCCTCGTGCTTGCTTATAAAGATCCACAGACCTTGATCTGATCTGCTGGCCTCCAGTCTTGGTCCACTTCCTCTTGTAATTTGGCTGTTGGCGTAAGGGGGCGTGTCAACCGCCCTCTCCTCCTCCATATACTGGGTGCTGGGGTTCTGCAGTGGGCTTGTAACAGACCATGGGATGTCTCAGGCTCCTGCCCCACTGACCCTAGACTGCTTAGTAAGTCAGTTAGTGTGGGGGCAAGTATAAAAAGTTACTTACATTTGAAAGTCATGGTATTTGGGAGGTGGAACTATGGGTGACTTATTTCCTGAAACGTCTTTTTAGTAAATACTTCAAAAAGGGTCAGTGGGTGGGAACTGGCGAGTTCTATTTCCTGATTAAATGGACAACTTTTGTTCATTTTTCATTAACTAAAGTTAGTCCTTTGGGAACCTTTGGTCTAGAAAGGTCAGAATAAAGAGTGCTTAGGCCAGCCCCAAGTTGCTGCTTCGTTCTCTACCCACCCTGGGACTTGAACCATAGGACTAATGTAAAGGTGGGATGTGATCGTGGAAGCTGAAAGTACCTTAAATCTCTTCAGTATCATCACGTGAATATGTACTGTTATTTAGGAGATAATTCATTTAACAAATGTCACATTTATCTAAGGCAGCATTGTTCTTTGCGTAGTTCTTTACCACGCTTGCAAACTAGCTGTGTTACACCGGAACCTCCATCTCGGCAGCACAGGTCCCAGTTGGTGGTTCCAGTCTGAAGTCAAGCAAGCTTCTTTAGCGGGCAAGAGGCTTACTTTCATTCAAGAATCATTGCTTCAGAAATGTAATCTCGGCTTCTGGGACAATGCAGATTTAACTTGGCAGGAACTTCTGGTTTACACAGTGCTTTACAGGCAGTTGTGCCAGGAAATTCCTTCAGTTTCTGATCCTGGAGTCCAACCTCTACTGTGTCTTCCTTCCACAGATGCCGAATGACACAGTATAAAACCAGTCATGTCCTAGGGAGCAGGTTTTCATTGTTAATTGAATTGGAAAAGTCTCTAGTTTGTACCTGGCTCCTCGCATAATTTCTAACACATTGAGGAGGCCTTTTATTTTACCCCTGTGCCTGTCTTTCTCCAGTCTCACAGTCCTTTAGTTGGAAAGGGTGGTTCGGAGCACCAGACCTGGGTTAAGTATAACTGGCTTTTTTTTTTTTAAGGAATTAACTCATTTTTAGCTAGGCCCATTTAACACATAGCCGATGATAATCATAGCTATCATTTCCCAAGAGTTTAATGTGCATCACCTCTTTCAGTCTTCACAGCTCTAAAGTAGGTAGTGTTTTACCTTTTTACAGAGTAAGAAACTGAGGCTGAGAAGTTAAGTAATTTGCTCAAGGTCGTGAAGCTAGAAGTCAGCATCAAGTCACACATCCCATCCCGTCTCATTCGTAGTGCATTTGCTGTTGTCATTGTTGTCTTTGGGTCAAAAGATCTTTGTAAAGTATCACAGTTCCTGAAAACTCTAATCTTGGTTACTCTGACTAGTTTGGGCAGTCAAGAAGATACTCGTAGTATATGATTTTAGTCTTTTTTACAATTTTTGGATTTCATATATATATATATATATATATATGTGTGTGTGTATATATATATATATATTTTTTTTTTAATTTTTATTTTTTTAAATTTTGCAAGTTATATGTCAATTGGCGCCGTGTGAAGATTTTAGTTTTTATTCACAAAACTCTTTGAATCTAAGTATACTTCTTTGGGAAATGACCTTTTCCCAATGTTTGTATTGGAACAAAGTGTAGAGCATTTGCTGTTCTGAGTGGAGCAGGATGATTTGCCAAGCAGCTTAAGAGTGGTTGCAATTAAATACCTTCCACTTCCTCTTTGTCCAAATGCATTTTAAACTCGCACACATTTTGAAAATGACATTTAACGAAAAAGCACTCAATATTTTTAAAAATTAAGAATTGGGTAAACGGTACACAGCCCCATTCTCTTTTGTGAATATTTGAAGTTTTTCATGATAAAAACCATGTTTTTAAAAATGAAGTTCCTAGGAATACTCTAAGAAAGTGTACGGGGTGTGGGAACCCAGCTGAGCCGCATCTGCCTTGCTGGCACAGACACCTCACTGTCACTGCCCCCACATTCAGACCTTGAGATGGGCGGGTCAGGGGGAAAGTTGTCTGTACGACTTCTTTGTCAATCCAGTGGGTATTTTTAAAATGTTGGTTTATTGAGAGAATTTGCAGGCAGTAAGATTGACCCTCTTTTAGGTGAGTACCATTCTATGAATTTAGATACACAGTCGTGTAGCCATCTCCACAGTTGAGACATAGAACATGTCAGTGGGGTCGTCAAAGGGTAAACGTTCTTAATTGGGAAGGCCGAAGCTTGGTCTCTTCAGTTGGTACTTGGAGTAGAACCTTTTGTATGAATCACTCTAGTTTTCCAAACTTTGATATAACCTCCAGGTGGCGCAGTGGCACCAAGTTTTTGTCCTACCTAGTTTTGTGAACTCAGATCCAAACTCTAGGATTGAGTGATAATAGAGCCCTGTACACAACAGGCCCTTAGGAAATATTTGCTAACTGATGTGGTAATCCTCTTAAGTACAAGAAAGACCCAGTACCTACAGGGTTGCAGTGGGGAGAGGATATTAGACTGAAAATGTAACCATGTAAAATCGGAAGTCTACAGTCTTGAACAAATTCCTCAGAGATAAGTTATAGCTGCCAGATAAACTGTTTCACCTCTGCTCCTCCGGGGCATGGAAAGTTTAACTAGGTGACTCATGAGTTAGGTTTCATAAAGTAAGAAGCACCAGCTAGCCCTTGTCCCAGATCGAGGTGAAGAAGTGTTTTAGGGCCTCTGCAATAATGAAGATGTCAGCAGGACCCTAATAAAAGAGTGGTGGTCAGTGAGCTCTTGGTGAGGGATCATTGCCTTAGTCGTTTATTAAATGTGCACCCTCCTGTAGGAGTGTGCGATGACAAAACTAGGGACAGGAAGAACACCTGTTCCAGAGATTTACATCTTTTTTTTTTAGGAACTCTTAATTTCTCACCTCTCTACCACACACAGATCTGTAGGGAATGTTTGGAGAGAGAGTTTTGACAAAAGACCAAATGTTGGTTCAGTGGAAATAGCAGGTAGGTAAGTAACCCACTCAGCAAGCTCTCTGGACAGGAATTCCACACAGGGATGGCTCTGGCTGCCCAGGGATCGGGACACTCACCGTACCACCAGCATCCCCCTCCCTCCAAGCAGGGCCAGACTTCTCTGTCCTTTAAAAGAAATGTTCTTGGTTTTTGAAAAACCAGTGGTGTGCTAAAAATTAAACAGGATGAAGAGTGTGGGGTGTTCCCACATGTCTTCCAGTCCCTAGGGGCTCCTAAAGTAGCCAACAGTAGTTAGAGCAGTTAGGTTCCCTTCCAGAGCTACTACACCCATGCCTGTAAGTAACTCTGTGTTTCGGAGGACTGTTCTGTACCCTTCAAAAAAGATCTAAAATATCATTTCTGTCGGTATGAATGGGTCCCCTCCCTTTTTTCAGCAGTTGTATTGGGACATGTATTTTTAAGACCCTCAGTATCTGTTTCTCTGTTTGAGGCACCCTTATTATCACAGCAACTGCTCTCGGATACATTGTTTCACTCCCACTAGGAGATGCCTCTGGTTTTCTGGGCTGTTGATCTTTTGTATTTTTTAAAGAGTTCGGTGGAAGGAGCAGATAGTTGAGTCAGACAGATTGCAGCACCGTCCTAAGCTGCCCCCCAGCTCATTAGCAGCTCGACCCTAGGCCACAGCCCGGTCTTTCTGAGCATCTGGGTTTTAACCTGCCAGTGGTGGGAAGAGAGCTTCACACGCGTAGGTTCTCAGAATGGGAGTTGTGTCCCGTCCCGTCCCCCCC